TGTATATGTGCCATCAGAGACGTACCTCTTGCTACCTGATTACGACAAGCACGAAGGGACTGAAAGAGGCTGAAACCATCAATAGTCACAACTGCTGCTGGATACAGGATACTCAGTTCTTCATTCTTTATTAAAGGAGACAAATCACTTTCACCATCATCACATCAACTTAGTTCTTCTGCTCTCTGAAGGAAAGCTTTGTAAATAATGCAAGGTAACAAGTGTTTTGTCTGAACAGTTAATTTCTAACAGACTCCACACAATGGAATATTATGCAGAGACAAAGAGAAGAATTTTAAAGAACTATCCAACATTTCAGCATACCATTAACTATTATTCAAATACAGACTCAATTCTGTATTTACTGTCTACATCTTGTCTGCTTTCATGGACCTTCATGCCTCTCATCTATTTATATTTTAACGGTTTAAGGAGAGAACGTACAAGTTGTTGCAATTTGTAAACGTTGCCTTGGTATGGGTTTATCTAGGGTGCAAATATCTGTATCTGGATTAGGGTCTAAATTGGCACTTAGGCCTGTTTTATACATCCAAATGTCCATCTGCAAGATTTAGATGTCTTGTTAAAACCGCCATCATTCAAAATTGGGTCCACATCATGCTATACTGTCATCATAGATGAACATTTGTATAAAGATAACAAACTTTCTAATACTTCCTAGTTTTTTGCATGCCGAACTCTAATTCAGCAAAAAGTGCAGAATGGTGGGCTCTTCCACAAAGTTGAACAATGTTCTACAAGAGTCCCTGTACAGGAAACGGCATAATGAAATGCAGATTCCTATGACTACCTTCAAAATAGTCTTTTTTCCTTGGAGGTATTTTTTTTTACCTTTCAGCTGTCTCCAAAGTAATCTTACTGAGAGATCAAAGAATATTAAGTCATCTGCTAGAGCATTGTGCAATTCTTGGAACCTGCCAAGCTGCATATTCCCCTTGAAAATCCACAAGCATACTACTACTATATTTTGCACACATAAAAGGAAAACCCAAGCAACAAATGAAGCCCTCTTTTACATGAATGATATAGTAATTCAATAAAAAAGAATGAGGAGTACTTGTGGTACGTTAGAGACTAACAAATTTATTTGGGCATATGCTTTTGTGGGCTAAAACTCACTTCATCGGATGCATGCAGTGGAAAATACAGTAGGAACACACACACACACACACACACACACACACACACACACACAGAGAACATGAAAAAATGGGTGTTGCCATACCAACTATAATGAGACTAATCAATTAGCTTTGGGGCTAAATATACTCCTCAAAAATAAGTGGAAAGAAATGCTGCTTTCCTTTCTATGTCTTTATGATTTAGCTGGTTTGAGGATTCTTCTAGAATGACTTATCCCTAATCTCTTGCTCAGGTCAATCTTCCACCTATCAAAAACTACTAACAACACACGAGTGGATTCATGTAGGAAAGAAACATGCCACAACCTGAAACAATACTATTTTACTTTTGAAATAGCCTGCTACACCACCTGTTCTGTGACTCCAGGATGCCGTGGAACCTCATAGGTTCTGCATTTAAGCTGTAGGACAGGATCTTCATTTAAGAGCTGTGCAAGAAGTAGGACTCCAGTCTAAGAAAGAAAGAATAATTAACATGAATATTTATTCACTAATTCACCTTTGCTTAGGAAAGGCTTACAGTATAGTCTACAGAAATAAAAGTTTACAAGTTACAGCAATATATCACTACTTTGCAGCTGAACGGTGCTGAAAGAAGACTCACCTCAGTGTAGAAACGGACGTAGCCAGAGGTAAAACCTACAACGATGCAGGTCCAGTCAGGACGGCCTGTAGAGCTCCTGTCCCATAAAAAAATAAAACAAATTAAAGTGAAAAAACTGATTTTCCTCTCAAATATACACATTCAAATTCCATTGACTTTAAAAGGATTAGCATGCATTTATCTGAAAGCAGAAGCTTTAATTGCTAACGAGTCTATTCTTACCTCTTTTGGCTTGCCAGTGGAATGCACAATGCACTACTTACACATTCACTGGAAACAGAAAATAAAAATATGAAGCATCTCATGCCAAACAATTTCAAATTACATACTGCTATAGTTCTATATGACCCAGCAGATCTTGCCAGTCTTATTAAAATATTTTAATAATTTTAATATACATTTTTTTAAATTTATTAAGATTCAAAAATGATTACATAATGAGGTAAAATATTATGCAAAATATTAATACAACCATATTTGTAAAAATATATATTATGTTGTGGGTTAAAAGAGAGAGAGAGTGTGTGTGAGTGTGTTGCTGGGGCTTTTTATAAATCATATATACTGTATTTTCTATTCAAAGATCCTGAAGAAAAAAATCCTAATTTCTGTTTTTTTCAAAATGATGTATTATTTATGCTATATAGCAGTCCACAGGAAGATTTTTAAGATTAACATACTATTGTTGCAGATAGAACAACAATGCATGGAAAAAACATATTAGAAATGTAGAATGCTACAGGAACAGAAACATCAACAGAAACTGTTTCAGAAGTTTGAAAATTTTATGATAGACGAGAGCCATAGTAAAAAAAAGCAAAAGGTTTGAAATTTGAAGGGAAAAAAAAAGGCTATAAACTAATGCTGTAAAAGCTTTCTGTACATCACTACTAAAAGGCAAAGACTAACGAGTCACTTTGCAGTCAAGGTAACAATGATGTACACTACAGGAAAGGTAGACCAGACCATTAAATGCAGAATGCAGGAAATCCATCTAAGAGTGCTCAAATAAGCATGAACAACAAATGAGAAATCTGACGCTGTTGACTGAAAATTGAAGGCAAGGACATGTTATTTTTAGTTTTCAATTGACCACTAAAAACAGGTTAAGGATCATAAAGATTTTAGAGTCAAATGAGAGCTAGGATCTTAACTGTAACAGTTGAGGAAGTGGCACAGAACGGTTTTATATAGTTTTCATAGTAAGCAACAGTATCAGGAGCCAGGGCCGGCTCCAGGCACCAGGCACCCAAGCACACGCTTGGGGCGGCACCTGGTAAGGGGCGGCGGGGGGGAGCGCGGCGCAGCATTCCGCGGGG